GTCTTTTACAATATTCTCCATAAACGCATTTTCTCTTCGACTACCCAGTTCGATTTCAGAAACGAATGTGGCTACCCACTTCGTAATCGAAATTTCTTTTTACCCCCTTGTTCTCCAGGGCCTCCATTGGGAACAACTTCTTTATCTCTGTATACTCCAAGCAATGGAACAAAAAAACGAGTGGGATCCGATCATCTACATGCATACACCTTTTCAAAGCTGCAATAAATAAATTCCTCACGGTCCAAACAAGGATCCAGCTCACCAACTCAATTCTGACTGAAGAAGACGCTTTTGCACTGCGGCTGCAGTTCTAAAGCGGCATAAATTACTGTTGCTTCTTCATTTTTTATGCAGCCGCGCTATGAAATCCAAGAAGGAGTGATCTTGCAATAGATCATAGGGTCACGCATGATTTATATTTATCTGATTGCGTTTTCATCCGACTCAATTGGCTCAAATCTGTGGCACATGCTCACCAGGTAGCAGTGTCCAGGTTCTCAAACAATTTCATTTCCAGCTTAGACGCTGGATCCGTGGAACACAAACTAGGTTGGCACATACAGTTATAAGTATTGTGACCCACCTTTGTCTAGCTCATATCCATCTGTTTGCCCTTTCATCCGGCTCGATTGGTTCAACTCCGTGGCACATGCTTACCAGGTAGCAGCTTCGACGCTGGATCCGTGGAACACAACCCACTTTGGTACATACTTTCATAAGTATGTAACCCATCGTTTTTTAGTTTGCATATATCTGATCTCGTTATTGTCCGAATCTACTGGCTCAACTCCGTGGCGCATGCTAACCAGGTAGCAGTGTCCACTTTCTCAAACAATTTCATATCAGTACACTAATCCAGCTTCGAAGCTGGATCTGTGGAACACAACCTAATTTGGTACAAACTTTTATGAGTATTGTGACCCATCTTTTTTTTCCTTTTATATTTCTGATTGCGATGTTTTACCATTACGGTAACCACCTCCATTTTGGTTCTGTAAATCTAGACATATCCTTACAACACCCTTTTACCGGTATTATGACCTAAGCACTCTGCTTGATTACAATTGGTCGTTTGCTTCTTGCTATTTCTTTCAATATCCCTCCTCAGCTGGGCTGCAACCCATTCTGCCGACGTACGC